GAGTAAGATAGAAGGGAGAGTAGAGTTATATAAGAGGGGTTTTAGAAGAAAATACAAAACCCTAGTTTGGGATTTGGTTCCAAAACCCTAGGCTTTGGATAGGGACATACTTGGGCTTTGTTGCTCGTTGTTTAAGCCCATAAAAGCCCAATAACGAAAAATTGTTAAAATAATATAAAAAAGCCCAATTAAAAGCCCACTCCTTGGGGCTAACTTCTTAGGTCATGGACCATGGATGTCGAGTTAAAATCACGTTGATTAGTAATATAGTAAATAAATTTTATTATTTTATTTAAAAATTAGAAAAATTTAAAATAAATATTAAAAAAAATTAAAATCCATATATTAATTTGAGAATTAGTTCTCTTTTCACACGGGTTTAGACGATATTCATGTGCTTGTTGTGAATGTTTTTTTTATTGAACATTAGAGACATAACCTCATTGTAACGACAATAACCAAAACAACACTAGTTTTTTTTAGGATAACTTAGTGTCTCGAATCAAAAGTTAGATTTATCACATAAATCGAAAATAGAGTGTGAATATCCTCTCTAAACTTGAGATTCAAATTCAAAACAAAATAAATACTAAATATCTATATTTTATTAGTTGAACTATCCAAATTTAATACATTTATACATAGCTTTTATTTTTTTTAGTATTGGTGACATGGAATTTCATTTTATAGGAGGATGCATAATGTAGATCACATGTTTCCTTTAGTTAAATTGGGTATTCACTCAAATGTATCAAACCGGCACAACATTCAGATAAAATCGGACCAAACCGGTTTAAAATAGTCCAAAGCTACCAAGAGGAGTGGCAAATTCGTAATATCGCCTTACACGTTAGGGCTATTGTTGGAAACTTTATTATATTTTTTTTCCCCTCGGGCATTTTCTTCTCTTGTATACAAACTACAAAGCTTTTCTTCTTCTTTCCGCTTTGTCTCAGATCACTGAGTGAATCGCTCGAAGAAGAGAGAAGATGAGCAGAGGAAGTGGCGGTGGGTACGATCGTCACATAACCATCTTCTCTCCGGAAGGTCGTCTCTTTCAAGTTGGTCAGTAATCGATCCGATCCTTTGCCTTCTCGAACATTTTTCGTTTCGGAATCCGACAAAGTGTTTTCCCTCGCGATTTCAAGCTTACCTAACTGATGTATGAGTGATGGAAATCAACGCAGAATATGCCTTCAAGGCGGTGAAAGCAGCTGGCGTCACTTCAATCGGTGTTCGAGGGAAGGATTCGGTTTGCGTCGTTACCCAGAAGAAAGTCCCGGTGAGTCCTTTCTCTTTGATTTGATTCCTTAGGGTTTTTCATTCGAATGAAAAACTTGCTGCGTGATTTATGAGGTCGATTTGCAGTTGAAGGTTTGATTTTACTTTGGGGGTTTTTTCATTTAGATTTGTTCAACTAAAGCTTCTGATAAATGTGGGTTGTTTCCTCAACGATTAAGGGTTTAGCTCGAGGGATGGTTGTGGTGGGTTTCGATTCACTTGAGATCTTGTACATTTGTATGAGTTAGGGTTTCTGTAAATTTGGGAATTTTGACACAAAAAGACTTCGCAAAAAAGCTACTCGTCAAATAAGAAATGGCGTCACTGCTAGGTTTTTGGGAAGCCATTGTAAAATTCATGATTTTAACTGGTACTCAGGAAATTTTGTGTTCTTTTTTTTTTGAAATTTTTAAGTTCGTGTTTACATGGGATTTTCTCTTTCAATGTATCTACGTTTTCATGTTTTGTAATTCTGCAGGACAAGCTTTTGGACCAGTCTAGTGTCACTCATCTTTTCCAAATCACCAAGTACCTTGGATTGTTGGCCACTGGCATGACTGGTCGGTGTACTTCATCCTTTATTTCTGTATTGTAAATGAATCATGAGTCTTGTTAGACTTTCGGCGATGAAACCAGCCTCTTATTAATCTATTATATCGCACCGGACGATTATTAAAGTCTTTAACCTTTCTATGGGATTCCAGCCGATGCGAGGTCCTTGGTTCAACAAGCCAGGAATGAGGCGGCTGATTTCAGGTTCCGATATGGATATGAGATGCCGGTGGATATTCTTGCTAAATGGTATACTCAACTTGATTCTCTTATATATCATCTGTTTATCGGCTCTTAGTCAATTTCCAGAGGGCTTGAAGCTATCGGCCTATTAGCATTTCTTACTGATGAAATATGTGTTTCTGACAGGATTGCCGACAAGTCACAGGTCTACACTCAACACGCTTATATGAGACCCCTTGGAGTTGGTAATTTTTTGGCATCTAATCTTATCTTACGCATAAATCTACATGCGTGTGTGTGTGTGTGTCTTTTTTTTTTTACATTGTGTTTGGATTTTGATGTTTGGCATGTGGATCCGTTTTATTACTTGACCGAAGCTTCTTTTTATTTTTGTTTCTGTTTGTGAAAGTTGCCATGGTTCTGGGTATTGATGAAGAGAAAGGACCTCTTCTTTACAAGTGTGACCCTGCTGGACATTTTTACGGTCACAAGGTAATGCCGCAGTTAGTTCTGTGCCTAATTTATCTTATGTTTTCCGTCATTTTTACGTAGTATTCGTTTTATCTTTTTATGTTGGCTGCTCTAACATTTATTGATAAAAATACCAGCTTCTTGTACGTCTTACAAAACGTAATGACATAGGGACATAACATAGAAGGAAACACCTCAGACCTGTACTGGAAACTTATTACTGTTTATTATAGTTCTGAGGCTATCTCGTCCAGCTGCTTCATAAAAATAGGTCTCACTCTTATGTCTAGACACGGCAGCTCGAAGGGTATGCTGCTGTTTTTTTTTTGCTGGGCTCTCGTGTTTTTTCATTGTGACAGGTTGTGATCATGAAATTGCAAAATATAAATATTACATCAACCAATCTTTAATTAAATGCACATGAGAAGTGTTGCTTCAAAACCGTTTGCTCACCAATTCTACAGACATTAAAATTGACTGATGTATATATGTCATTCTATTTTTCCATGGAACCGGAGGTGTATCTTTATATAGCAACTGATTAAGAAGATGTATAATGCAGGCAACTAGCGTTGGCATGAAGGAGCAAGAAGCAATCAATTTCTTGGAGAAGAAAATGAAAGAAAACCCTGCATTCACTTATGATGAAACAGTGCAGGTATTTGAGGCATATCCCTCTTGTCTTTAGCTTGTTCTGTCCATTCAGATGTGTGACAAATTTGCATAATATGGTTCATTAATGGGCTATCCAGTCATATTATTTATTATTATTATTATGTAATATGGAAAGTTCAAATGTTAGCATGATGGGTCTAAAGAAGAACTATCTGAGCTTCAAGTTTTGTGCATGGTAATTCACTTTTGGCTTTCGGGTTTTTCTAGACCGCAATTTCCGCTTTGCAATCTGTTCTTCAAGAAGACTTCAAGGCTACTGAAATCGAGGTATTGAATCTCCGATCTTCATTGTTATCTTCTTTCATCTGAATGTTCAATGTACCAAGCGTATTTTTGTGAAAGACAATCCATTTTGTGTTGTCCATATCTATCTCTGTATGTCTTAACTCAAACCCGACCCTTCTTGTTGTGTGGTAGGTGGGAGTTGTTCGAGCAGATAATCCCGTCTTTCGGGCATTGACGACTGAAGAGATTGACGAGCACTTGACAGCCATTAGCGAGCGAGATTGATAGGTATCCCCCACTCAAAAACTATCTCGGGTTTGATTATATAGTCGGAGAAATCTGTCTTTCTGCACTTGCCTCTGTCATATTTTGAGATTTTGTTTTTTTCTCGCGTTTTCCTTCTTTTTGTATTGCTTGAAAGATGGGCAAGACTTGTTTTGAATCAGTCACATTCCATTTCTTGATACACTTGCTCTCTCTGTTTATGCTCTCTTAGTTCACGTTTTGAAGAGCAGCCGAGCAACAAAATCGTATTTCTTGATTGGGTTGAGCACAATGATCTTCCCCATTTTCCCGGAAGGGTGTTTCGGTTTTAGTTTAGGGTTTGGTTTGTTCGGTTCGGGTAATGTTACTAGGAAAACCGAAATAGAAATCGGTTCGGTTCGGTTTGGTTTGATGCACTTGCCTATCTCTAATGCGCTATTCAATTTATTCAACTATTTGTAGAAATATCAATGAAGGGTTTGATTAAGAAACCATTTAACTAATAATTATCAATTAATTATTACATAAATACTTCCAAACTATTCAACGAACACAATAGTTTCCCAGTTCACTCTAGCATACGAAGTGGTGAGAAAATAGTTCTTATTCTGTACAGGAAACCGGTTAATTCCGGTTAGCATCTGGTAGATTCGCCATAGATGTAGTCAAGAACCGCTATAACTCCAAAGACAAAAGCTTTATCAACTCCCGGTTTGATAACCACATGGTAGAAGTCTCCACTCGCCATTAAATCTCTTACTTCATCAGACACTCCCATCTGCAAAAGAAGCCTTTTAGTTCGGTTCATATCGGTTAAGTTTGTACAATTCGGTTTTCACATTGGTTTAGCACGAATTTACCTGAGCAATGGTGTGACCCGAGGAATCGAGGATGCTACATGATCTATCCGGAAAATAGCCTCGGATCTCGAAGAAGCAATTGTTGGTTACACAAGGGTTGATCGAGATCCGGATCAAACCGCCGGTTTTTGGGATACACGAATTCTTGGGATCTCTCAATGTGAAAACCGGTTTAGGGATCCCTTGGTAGTCATAGGAATAGCCTTTCCATTTGTTATGAATGCTTAGAGCCTGCAGTATTCCTCCCTGTGGAGACCACCAACAACAACAAAAAATGTTAATAACTCGTATTTAATTTTGATTTAGCTAATCATTAATCGATATTGATGATGAAATCCTTAAGAATTCATAGTTTATGATTAAGGATTATATTAGGATTCGATTCATCTTGTCTATTTCTTATTCTCGAATCGGATCGAAACATTAGCTCGATATTATATATAAATTAATGGATTCTACGTAATGGGAAGTGTACATAATCAATCAACTAGGATGTATCGGACCCAATTCGGGTTGTTCAACTAGAAAAATGGGGATGCAAAACGTATGTTTCGTTTTGATTTCGAGCCTCAAATATCCCGTCTCGAGTTCGAGTCTTAAGTGGGCGAGGGAAGCATAATTTCAATTGTCTAGCTTGCTTCCAACCTCGAGTTTAGTCTAGGCTTCGATCTAAAATATCCGGCTATAAAAAAAAATAGGACGTATCAAAGCATATGAAACTTTGATAATCTCTTTTTTTCCCTAGCAATTAAGGAATCAAAAGGATAGCTTGAAATACGTAATTTTATAATTCTCTCTTCCAACTAAAGGGTTCCCATACATACATACATACATACATACATACATACATACATACATACATACATAATTTACCTTGGAGTCCAAATCTATTTCACTTGCTAGGGTTCCTTCATGACTGTATTAATCTTACAAGTTGCGCGTTTTGTAAATAGAGTTACACATTCAAAACCATTCATATATTTTCCGATTAATATCCAAAATAATGACGTTAAAATAATCAAATCTAAGGAAAATTGCTCACATATATACATACATATACCTTTTTATGAATAAGAAGCATCTCATCTCCATTAAAATCTCTAAGAACCAACTCTCCTTTGGTACCGAGGACTCCGCAGCCGTCGATTCTGAAAACGACGTTATGATCAGAGTCGGTAACGACGAATCCACCGCCGTTGATGACATGAGGCCGCCTCCGGACCCACATCACCTCCTCCTCCTCCGAGCAATACAACTTGCTCACTATGGGCATCATCATCACCATTAATTAATTTCCTATACTCTTCTTTCACACAAATTTTATGTATATGTTGTGTTCATTATACCATATGATGGCATATATATATATGTGTATGTGTGTGTATATGTGCAACCACGTATAATATATGGTGGTGTAGAATATTAAAGAAAAGGAAAGGTACGAAGTCCAAACGTATAGGTTAATGTATAGTTTGTAGAAGATGAAAAGGGAGAAAGGTGCAAAGTCGTGTAAAGTTTGGCGTCGTTTGACTCCTTTGCACATCGACGGTCTATATAATATTATAACAATTATTATTACTAAAATATTAGATTTTTCTTATTTTGATTGTGTTAATGTATATAATTTCAAAAAATATTAAATGAATCTAGAAAGAATTCAGACCAAATATAAACAATAACAAAACACATAAAATATTTTTATAAAATAAATATTATTATTAATTAATGAAACCGAACAAAAACAAATCTAAAATCAAAATAACAAAGAATGAACATAATTTTTACAAAACCTCAAGAACAGATAAAAAAAACATTATCCAATTGAAACCCGAAATTTTCACAATATCTATACGTAATCGAATTTCAAATTGTTCTAAACTTGAAATGATTAAAATTCTATAAATATTGTTAGGATATCTGTTGGACAAAAAAAAACAAAACAAAAAAGGGTAGAGTAAAAGGAAAGAGAAAGGTAAGATAGGATTCATTTATACTCTTTACCCTATTTGGTATTCACGCAATCCATAAGACAAAAAATACATTACCACAAATAATTAGAAGTTGTGTTGAGAATATAATGATGACAATGCATATGTATTCACGTAAACAAATGATCGAAATGATATTAATCTTCTTTATTTGATCATTTCTATAATGTATATCATCTATCTATATATTACATAGATAAGGTTGTGGCAAGAATATGTAAGTTATATATATATATATATATATATATATATATAAACTCGTGTGGGAGATCAATTACTTGTACAAAGATATATATGATGGTTGTGCATAATTAACCTTTTTTCTTTTTTTTTCTTAATTTTTTTTAGCACTTAATATTTTCTTTCAATCCCATATTCCACCAGCGGTTTGGAAAGAGGTATACAATTTAATTGTGGTACACAGATTATGTCTGAATTTTGAGATATGTAATTGGATCGAAGTCCCGATATCATGAACTTCCAAATTAACCAAAAAAACAACCAAATAATATATAACTGTATTTGAACCGAATACATACCGATGGAAATTATTTTTCCAAATGCAACTAACCAAATTCGAATCCTATCCGAACATAATAATATAAAAATAACTTGAAAATGAAAAACGGAAAAATTAATTCTCATTAGAAATGAATATTTTCCTTTAGAAATTCTAACTTCTAATAGAATTCGAACTAAAATGAAATCCGATATAAAAACCAAACATAAATAGTTTTTACAATACCGAAATAATTATATCTAAAACCGAAATATCCACCATTAGCTTTTTCTTTTCTCTTAATTTTTCTTGTCATCACCACTCTATATAAACTTCCAAACTTACAAATATAACAGCACGAGATATAGGGCAATGTTGCATGTATTTATTCACCAGTTGCATGCATACTATATATATATATATATATTTGTACGTATATATACATATATATATGTATGCATGGACGGATCCATGTACAAGAGAGTGGGGTATATATCCCCACTGTTAAATAAAAAAATGTTTAATTTCATTGTAAATTAAATAAATTTTCAAACAAAATCGTGAAATGCCCGCATGATGAAAATAAATTTGTTCATATAATATTCCGATTATAAATTATGCCCCAGTTATAAATGATTCTCGATCCGCCACTGTATGTATGTACGTATGTATGTATTACCATCGATATCATGCACATGTATATGGCAAAGTAGAATATTTGGATAGATTCTTTGGCCAGAAATTTTCATTAGAAAAGAGAAAACGACTTGAAAGATGTACCTAGTGTAAATCCAAACGCAAATCGCAAACGCCCAAAAATGAAACCGCCAAAAACAATGGCATACCAAAACGCGTGTAAAGAAAGTTGTTTCTTTTTTATCAAGAGAATCTTGGAAAATCATTTTGTGTTATGTTTTCGAATATCGAAATCGTGTTTGGTGAAACAAAGGAAAGAGAGCTATAGCCCTAAAAGGTACCCCCGAACCCTAAAAGAAAACAAATGCATAGATGGGCATCTATTTTATTTTCTTTTATGTTACTGAATTTAACCCTTCATTTGTTTGTAAGAAATTCTTTCAATAATTTATTATATTCGTAGAGATTTTAATTTTTGTTTCTTCTGGTTATAAATTGATTATTTTTTCTTTCAACCTTTTGGACACACACAAAAAAAAAAAAGAATAGCATGTGCACACTTTTTACTTTAGGTGCATTTGAATAGTAGATGTATAAATCTTCTAAATAAGTTAGTATATAATTCATAAAATTTAGTGAAAATATTCCAAAGAAGGAAAATTTTAAAGTACATTTGTAGAAATATGTAATTTAAAAGTAATTAAACTCAAGGACAATGAATCTTCATCTTGTATCAAATAATTCATATATAAAGCATAGTTTGGACATTATTTCATATCGATTTTCATAGTTCGGACAGTAATCTTATTACTAACTGACAAACTGATAACATAGTTTGTACACTAATTTTTTCATTATTTCTTGCATATTTTTGTGAACTAATTTCTTTTTAATTACAAAGACCTTTTTAGTGAAAGAATTCATATGTTTATAAAGAATAATTTACAAATACATAGGAAACAACATGAAGATGTCCTATTTCACAGGCCATCGAATATTATTTAGATTTTCCAAATTTAAATATTATTTTTTTTACAACATATTAGTTTACTTATTAATTAAAAATATAATAACTATTTATTATTTTGGTTCTTTTATTATTTACTTCGGCAGCATTTTGCTTGTGGGCTTAACACTGTCATATGACAGTCACGTGCACTCTGAGGGAAGTGTTGTACTTCTCGCTTCTCTGCCACTTTTGTCCCTAACCCTAATTGGCTCACTTCACAAAAATAATATATTGGAAAAAAATAATATAAGCACAATTAGTTTGTAAAATGTTATTTGTTTCAAAATGAATTAAATTAATTCATAGAGTTTATAGAAGTTAGTTTTAGAAAATTGAATTTTCTTTAAAAAAATGGATATCATATGGAGTTGATATCTTTACAAAAAAAAAAGCTATATAATTGAATTTATTAGAGTATAATTAAAGATTTTAATTTATAACATTAAGAGAGTTGGAATTAAGTAATTATGGGATGGTGTAATAATTGTAATTGAAATAGCAAAAGTTTTCTTGTTGAATATATAATTTGCAAAATGCTAAAATTTTTTATTGTCAGATTGATGAACGTATATTAAATAGCTCAAGTCAAACTTACATATAAAAATAAATAAATAAATTGCACCATAAATGCTAAAAACCAACGTCTAATATATACTAATCACAAATTGATACAAATTCAATATATACAATTCTCAAATCATTACTAAAAAAAATTATAAAATAATTTCCTCGTGGATACCGAATAATTAAATCATTTTAGTGAGATGATTGACGCAGCCAAGATTCTGCCATAAACAACGGCACTGAAGCCAACACACAACACTTTCAAAGAACACTTCAAAACCATATAATAGCAATATATATATATATATATATATATACATAGATTATCTCTCATTCACACTCTAAGGCACACATATACATACACAGACATGACGTACGTATACATGTGTATATAATAGCCACCGGCCGGCGAAAATGGCGGATGTTCACGGTGGTGGGTTGACGTCAGTTCCGTCGCTGCCGCCGCCGGTGCCGAGATCTCCGTCGGAGATGCCCGACTTTGGCGGGAAGAGGAGGAGAATGGCAAAGGTTCAGAAGCTTGAGAGAGAGATCGGTATTCTTCAGGTCAGTGAGTGAGTGAAATTCTGATAATTTTTGCATGATTCAGAAGAAAAAACACTCGTGGGGTCAATTAATAATCATTTGATTAATTACTAATCATTGTGATTATGTGGATGGAAACAGGAAGAACTCGAGTGGATCGGGGAGCTTCAACCTGCTTCCAAATCATGCAAAGAGTACGCAAAAAAAACACGAAATGATTTCACATTTTCAGTCTTAGAGATTATAAAATTTTTCGATACATGAAAAAGATTTAAAAGAAATGTCGAAAAAAAAAAGGTCGTGACCTTTTTTTTTTTTTTTTTTTTAAATGCAGAGTTGCTGATTTCGTGGGGACAAACGCAGACCCACTTACGCCAGCGTGTGTAACGTTTTCTCTGAAACTGAAAAAACCATACCTAAAATGAATATTTTGTTTTTTAAAATAATCGAAAACTAAAATTTGAAATGAATATTTTTATGAATAAAAACCAGATTCAAACCAAAAGTAAAATGAAACATAACCAAACCCATCCAAATCAAATTCGATATAAATTTGAGTGATTATAATTTTTCTGAAACCAAAATCCAAAATAATCACACTCATCCCTTGTTTTAAGTAATGTTGAATCATAAACTTTCCCTCGGTTCATGTTAAGCAGAGAACAACGAAAGAAGAATGGAAACTCGACCAGCAGCTTCTGGGGGTGGCTCTGGTAATAAACCACTCTTTGCTCCTTCTTCTTCGGCTTCCAATGGATTCTGTTTCTTGCGGTAGAAAACACAAGTTCGATGTTCATCTCATAGGAATCTGTCTAAATGCAAATGCAGTGGAATGGCTTGTTTCAATTCGCCATGCCCACGCTGTTCTTGTCGCTCCGAGTGTTATTGCCATATCAAGTGCCCTGCTTTCTGCACAACTTGCCGGACCTGTTCAAGACCTATGTTCCGATGTTCGACCTCTTGTTGCAGCCGAGAATGCTGCATTTCGGGTTTGCCTTCTTGTGGAGATTGCTCAGGCTGCGGAAACAGTTGCTCTTGTTTCAGGTGTCTGAAAATGGGGGGAGGACTATGCTGTCGTCCTTGTAGAAACTCGTGTCATAACAACTCTCATTCGACACCCACTTCTCATTAATAAATCCCACAGACCCTGTTTCTTTTAGCGGAACCTTTTTTCTAAGCTCGGGATAAGCTCCTTCTCTTACAATTTCCGATCTCCGGTGTAGCCGAGTCGTGAAAACTCCTCGATTCTGGCATAGACAGGACCAGAGGATCGATCATTTCTTTATAGCTCGGGGTGATTAATGCCCATATTTCTGAAATTCCGACAAAAGGGCAATATGATTAGAAAATCTCACCATTCTGTTCAAATGAGGACTCCAACACCATGGTTGTGTAGGTGGGGCGATGGAGAAAGCTATACAGTATACCTATGGGGCACACTCGACGAGTCTTGAGCCAACGGCTGATGCAGTGAAAATGAAAAGCATGGTTGCTGCATATCGCACAGTTATCCATGACGATATCTACACAAATCAAGCCCCGATTCCACATCACCCGTCGATCAAACTATGCCGAATCAATAGAGAAGAAAGAAACCGAAACCGAAACCGAAACCGAAACCGAAACAAAGAGACGGAATTAGGGTTTCGGTGAAACGTACCCCAGGCCCAGAGAGCGAGGGCGTTCCACTTCTTGATCTCAAGCCGTTTCGGCTTCTTGGATGAAGAAGACGGCAAGGATGTGGCGGTGGCGGTGGCGGTGGCGGTGGTGGATGAGCCTTCTCCAGCGAGAACCATCGGAGTCCATCGTCGCCATTGTTGAAGGAAAATCACTCCTTTCTGTTAAGGGTTGTGGACACGTTTGACCGGTTTGGTATTACGATTTATCGGTTTAAATTGGTTTTCAGTTTATTCCGGTTTGGTAATACCGTAAATTCCAATTTTTTTTTATTACAAATTCGAGATTTGCTATTATTATTACGATGATGATGTACTCAAGCCTAGAATGCAATTAAACCGGAGAAATTCAGGTGAAGGTTCTCTCTAAATGAAAATTCAAATTTAGATTGGAAAAGAGTTTTTGTTCTTTCTTTGAGTCACCCAATATTGAATATATATATATATATATATATAGAGCATCAAGTCTATTATTCGGCTTAATTTTAAAATGAAACAAAAACTAAAAGAATTAAGTTCATCAATATAACGCGTCTTTCATTGACGAAGTCGTTACAACGTTACCAAGAAGAAAAAAATAATTTTGACAGTTTCTATAGGGAAAATATAAATATTATAACCGAAAAAATCCCAAGAAAAAAATCGGCAAAAAAGTATATTTACATTAAAAAAAAAACATTTACAAAAAAACCAAGAATCTCAATACCGTTCACCACCAGCCTCACTCCTCATCGGCGAACTCAACCCATTCCTCAAATGCCCCCGGTGATTCCCTCCGTCAGTCACCGGAGACCGGTGGCGACTCCCTGGAGACTTCTCCGCCGGCGACCGGAGCTTCCTCTCACGATGTTCACTCCTCCTCCTACCGAACTCCTCCTTCACATCTCCGCCGGAAACCACCGCCTCTGGCGTGGAGGGCACCGTGAAAACGAAGGGTCCCATCGGAATATCCTTGTAGTTCTTAAGATCATCGAGAACGGCCACAACGGCGCTCATATTGGGCCGATGCTTGGGTCGGTGGCTAAGGCATTGGTAGGCTAAAGCCGCGGCCTTTCGAGCGCCGGTCTCGGAGTACTGACCCTCGAGCCTCGGGTCCATGATCCGAGACAGCTTACGTGGGTCGTTGAGCATGGGACGAGCCCAGTCGACGAGGTTCTGTTGACGTGGCGAACGTTTCTTGTCCACCGATCTACGGCCGGTCAAGAGCTCGAGCAGGACGACACCGAAGCTGTAGACGTCGCTCCTGGCGGTCAAGTGACCAGTCATGATGTATTCGGGGGCGGCGTAGCCTTGCGTTCCCATGACTCGGGTCGATACGTGCGTGTCGTCACCCTCTGGTCCGTCTTTGGCTAGCCCAAAGTCCGACAGCTTTGCCATGTAGTCCTGTAGAAAAAGAAAATATATGTCAAATACTGTAGGGTAAATTATTATTATTATTAGAAATCCTATACAGATACACAAATTTATTATAAATTTCCAATTAATATATCAGTTTTAAAATTTATAGAAAAATAAATGAGCTTTGACTTCTTAAATCATAAACTTTGTGAAAGTTATAAAAAAAAACTACAAAGATTAGAAGAATTTACAAATTTGATAATTTGTGTAAGAAAAAAATGTCTATTTTTCTAATTTTTTTAAAAAATTTGATAATTAATTCAAATCCGTCTATTTATATGAGATTATTTGTGTTAGTAGTGAAGGGTTTAAATGAAATAATATATTTTATTTTGTTAAAATTCCTGATTCAATAAGTTCGTACACACACACACACCAAATTGGTAAAATGTTGCGATTATTAATGATAGTGAAAAGGGCCTAAATGGGTAAAATCTATAAGCTTTTAATACAATAATAAAAAAAAACTTCTTAGAAACAAAAAGGAAAAAAAAAACCCTTTGTTAAAATTAGAAACATTGGTCAACGTGTGTCGGGAGACTGATGAGATTAGAGCGAATCCCAAGTGGAATCGAATTTAGTCGATGGTTTATTTATGAATGGATTTTCCTCTACGTGAAAAATTTGCCACAAAAACATGGATTAATTAGCGAATTTTGAGAGCGATTAAGGGCTTAATTACCGAATCTAACAATATGTTGGAGGCTTTGAAATCGCGGTAGATGACGGGTTTCTCGGCCTCGTGAAGAAACTGGAGACCCTTTGCAGCTCCGTGAGCGATCTTCATCCTCGTCGCCCATGGCAGCGAAGCCGAATATCCTACAAGACCATATCGAAATTTCAGATCAAACTTCGATCCAAATCCATCAATAAAATGAAAAAAAAAAAGATCAAAATCAAACTCACGTCTGAAGAGCTGATTCTCTAAGCTTCCACGAGGCATGAACTCGTAGACAAGGAGCCTGTGTTCGTCCTCGCAGCAATAGCCAATCAGCTTCACCAGATTCGGATGCTTCAACTGTCCGAGAAATATCACCTCCGTCTGAAAAAAGACAAACCCGTCAAAGAAAACATCGGATTAGATCCATGGTTTCCCAGAATTTCGCCATTTGGGAAGATCGAAAATCTACGAACCAGCCATTCTCTGTGACCCTGAAGACCGTCTGGGTCGAGGTTCTTGACAGCGACCGGCTGTGCCTTGAGGCCTGGTCTGAGCTTATCGTCGATGAAACCCTTGTGAACCTGTCCGAACCCTCCTTCGCCGAGGAAACTGTTCGACGAGAAGCTCTGGGTGATGACTTTGAGCTCCGCGAGGGTGAAGATGTGGAGATCTGAACCAGCCAGAGAGATGGATAGATCTTCCGACAAGGTGGTTGAACTCGGATTGCTCATGTCCAAAATCGACAGTCTCTGAAACGATTTCTGCTTCTTCACCTCGCTGTTCTTGGGTTTGTCCGAAGATTTCTCAAAGTTTTGATCTTGGAAACACCCAGCTACGAATGATCTCCAAGACGATTTCTTCTTCACCGCCATTGATGATCGATGCTTCTGAGATTCTCTGAAAGTCTTCTTGTTTGTTGTTTCTTGTTTGGTTGTGTCGAAATGAGAGATGCTTCGTTTTATAAAGGAGGCGAGAAAGATTGGGTGAGACGAGAAAAAAAAATATATATTTATATTATATATATAATATAATATACTAATTCAAATTCACCAACCACGTCGAATTTGCACGATTTTTATTTTTTTTATTTTCTAACCAAAAAGTAATATGAAAAACAATTATTTGATAGAAAGAGGGCTGCAACTTCTTTAGATGGCGGATTCATATATTTCTTTTCTATTTCTCCCCGCGCTTTGACATAGAATTTTTCCAACACCTCATACGCATATACGCGCTCGTACGTACATTACATGCACGCGCGTGTGTGTGTATATATATTCACTACGTAACATATGTTATTGTTTTTGAACGGTCCACTTACGTATATAATTAATTATAGATCATATATAGAGTTGTTATTATGTTATTTGAATAATCAATGTGTTTTAACAAAAATAAATAAATAAATAATAATAATCAAATGTGCTTGATCAGTCCTTTAGTATGCACTAGTGGGTGGTGCGCGGTGGTCCCAAATGAAGACAAATTACGCTATTGCCCTTTTCTTGCAAATCAATTAATCGGATATGATAATTTCCCAATTTTCATATTTTCCTAACGGGACCTTTTTGTTGTGTGTCATGACCGATTGAACAAATATTGAACGTGACATATTTGTTTGAATTAACAAATTACAAAGAGAATCATTTTGTCATGTTGCGTGGATATTTCGGGTTCTATTCGATATTATTTCGGTTTATTTCCGTGTTAATATTCTTTTTTAGTTTGAATTTCTAAACATGAAACCTTGGTTTGAAGCAAAGAATTAGAAATAGAATTGTTAATCTCATGTGCTAATTTTTGTGGATTTCTACCGAATATATATATATATATATATATATATATATATATATGTTTGGGGGGTTGAAAACTTGTACGAAACTCTCTAAAAATTCTACATGATCATTATGAATATCAAATTTAAACTGAATAAAATCCAAATATAAAATAAAATTTAAAAAAAAAATCCAAGTGCTTATAAATTATTCATATGGTTAATGATCACTTGATCTATGAAGATCATTAGCATATGCGCATACATACACACACACATATATATATATATTATATAGTTAGTATGGATATTTGTGTATGAAATCAGATTCCAACACCCAAAGACTTTTCGTTTATTTATTTTTTCGCCCCCTGAGTGGCCACAAGCTGGAAAAGTTATCTCACTCACGGATCCAAGAAAATTAACTACTTGGTGTTTTTTTATTATTATTAATAATTATAATGTTATAAAATTTCAATGTTAGTTCATTTTGGCAAATTACAATAGAACAACAAAAAACATCTTTTTTTTGGGCAATCACGCAATATCTTTTGTAACTTTGTAATAATTTTGAAAAATATATATTCGATTCAACTTGTACGGAAAAATCCATCTCGGCTTGAACATGTCTAATAAAATTAATAATAGGCTAAATACTATGTAGAGAAAAATTTATAATCAGTGAAAATGACACTTATTGCTCTTGAGTTTTGTAGCCATTTTTAGTCGCAATGGACTAAATTTGTTCCTCTTTTAATCAAAAACTGTAAAATATGTGAATTTAAAATTATACTAGAAAATATATTAAAATTTATAATTCTTAAACGTATATGAATTATTCCTTTTTAATAAAAGTTTTTAAAAATGTTTATATGTTTATTATTATTATTTATTATTATTATTATTATTATTATTATTATTATTATTATTATTATTATTATTAGACCATTGGAAATTGGCGACAAAAATACTAAAGTTAACAGATTAGTAATTGATGTCAACATCATATCAAAATCGTGTGAAAAAATGTTGAGATACATTAAAATGAAAATATATTTAAAATGCTAATTTGATTCATATTTTGTAATTAGTTTATGACAATAATATTGTTAAAAAAAAGTAACGTTTGAAAATTTTCATCTATTTTAAACGTGATAATTAGTACAAAAAATCAAAATACTGTAATTTTGTTACGGCACTGTCAATATGTTTGCAAGAAGTCATGTGTTTCAGACGTGATAATTAGTTAAATAATAATTAAAATCTTATAAGAAAATAGATTCATGTCGTATTCTTTGTAAAGAAGATATTTGACATTTTGGGAGAATAAAATAAGTTTAAATAGAGAAAAAATCAAATTTAAAATTTTTTAAAAAAGAAAACTTTCCAGAAGAATGGCACTGCCCCTTATCCAAGAAACATGGTCAACGGATGGTTTTAATCAGATTACGAAATATAAAACAGACAAAATTTTATATATTAAAAAATAAAATACCAAATAAGATTACATAATAAAAGTTTGGTTGAACTGCAATAAACAAGTGTATCAAGCTTCTAGAATTTTGATAAAATATATAATATTTTGATATTTTTTAATTAGAAAAAAAAAAGAATGAGCATAAGGTCAGGATCAGACACAACCGCGTTGTCAAAGACGGCGACGTATTCGAAGGAACGACTCGTTGGGAGATTCTCTTGTTGAGTTGACATCTAGTTATGTCCCACAAGGTAGGGCCCACTGGATCGTGGTTGAAAATTCTTTTTTTTAAAAAATTTATTTTGTTTGTTTTTGCTTAATCTTGCACGACAAGAACAAATAAAAAAAAAGTTTCATGCTATAAAATGGACAAACCAAGAAAATATTCATAAAATCAAACTAATGAGGAGAGATAATATAAGATAGACAAAATGATCGTATACTAATATTTTATTTCTTTTTGTCGGATTTCAAATTTGGATATGGAAGAATTCGAATTTAGATATATCTCAATCATTGATAGACGTATCTTAGACAAAATGTTTATTAGTTTTTGATAGATTATTCGAATAATTGGCATTTTTTGGTCCCTAGCTAACTCGATCACTACACTATTTATAAGGAACAAAATTATTCATTTCATTTAGAAGAAAATCATATGATTATTGTCATCCGCATGCATGAGATAATATCTTTTAGTTTGGACGTGGATTCTCTATGAGCGTAGTGTACAACGCTTAATCAATGAAAAAAAAAAATCATATTTAATGAAAAATAATCATAAAATATTATAGAAAAACTTGGGATTTTGTTGTCTTCTTCTCAATGTTTCTATTTGAAATAATTCCAATATTATGGTTTGATTATATTGTATATATATTATTTATGTCAAATGATGAAATCATCCAAGACTTTGTGATTATAAATGCAAAAAATACAGTAAATTAAGGGGAAAAAACACCAAATTTCTAAACCAAGAAAACTACTATATCAGAGAGGTTATAGATAATAAGATTAGAATCAACAATGGCGAAATCGAACCCTAATCTCGAGAAATGTTACACTTAAATCTGATTTTATTTTTGTTCAAAGATCTCGGCGAAGACACAAAATTACCGTTCTCGATGGGCAACGAACTTAACGTCCTAAACGAAGCAGATGACATAAAAAATGACGTTCTGTATCCCTTCTACTTTTCCGCAGAACCAAAAGGGACACCCTCTCTTTGGTCTAGAGTCTTCTAGTACTTTTAACATATTTTCAATTGTACCCTCGTGCTCATTTTTTTTATGGGCAATCCTCGCCTATAATACATATTACTTTTGCAATAATTGGGTATGCTGTGACCGATTATTCCATTAGTATATAGTTTACAGATGAATACGGAATCGCATTTTGTAATAATTTTTTAGCCCCCGTCTGCAGCAATAATAATCATATGATTTTCTGTGTACATACTTATATATATGGATGGATCTTGAAAAAAAATATCATTGGGAGCAATATAAAAATTACTATAATTTAAGAGATAAATTTAAATTTTTTATGGAGGCATTTAACAAATTTTATTTACAATATATAAAATTTATAATGAAATTAATTTTTTTTAATATAAAGAATGGAGACATATGTCTCCATAACTAATGAATTAGGTCCGTCCATATATATATATGCGTGTATATATATATGTATATATATATATTGTGCGTGTGTAGGAATATGTTTACATTAATGGATAAACAAGTAAACACAAATGCATCCACATGTGTATGTATATACCCACATGTACCTAGAATCATTAAGCACGTTTTATTTGCACAATTTGAAACTCTTGGCACATAATAGTATATATTTCACCTTTTTTTTTTTTTGGCTTGCATGTGATTTAGTTGAATATACACTTACCGAAACGGCTAATTTTCTAGACAGAATCATTAATAGAAAATGGAAAATGGAAAATGGAAAATAAATGAATTTCGGTGTTACACAGAAATATATATACACACACGTTAATAAACTCATTAATAACGCAGTTAACTTAAATAAAATCATATTTTATTTTTATCCAAAAGAGTCAAATTTCAATGAATACGTATTTTATTCGCTGCGTATGTAGTGGAATGATTCTCACATGTAGAGAGTGAGATGATTCTCATGTGAACAGTTAGCCATTTGTAGGGTTTACTTTCTCGTCGCACAATACAATAGTCATAGACCCCGTCAATGGCATAACCGTAATTCAGCGTTGAATTAAACCCCGCGTTAATAATTATATTGAAGAAAATAAAACAACAAATTTACAGAATAAGAAAATAAATTATGTTCAAGTTATTTGACATTATAGAGTAAAACCAAATGGGTCCAAAACCGCGGATACGTCGCGTTTTAATCAAATTTCATATTATACTTTTGAGACGAATCTTCTATAAACTTTATTTATTATTTTTACGAGTTCTATATATGATGCATTAATTACCATCTAAATACGTATGATGACGTCTTTTTATTTATTCAATCCTACTATGATGATTCAAGAAATTATTGATTTCAAAGATTTTATTTTATGAAAACTAGCTTATTTAAAGCTATCAACCATTTGTAATGATTTACCAACGATTTTGCAACGCTTTAACAACGTTTAGCAACAAAAATTTTCGTTTAACAAAGCGTTGCAAAATCGTTGCAAAAAAAAATCCGTTGCAATTTCGTTGCTAACTTTGCAACGGAATACATTTCGTTGCTAACTTTGCAACGGAATACATTTCGTTGCTAATTATCTGTTTTTTTTGTAGTGTATGTATTTTATGTATATATGTATATATGTCTGTGTGTGTATGTATATATGTATATATGTATGTATGCATGCATGCATTCGTATAACATGCAGACACAAAAGATAAGCAATCAGTTCTTTTGTCTTCTCCAAATTCTTGATAGGATTAGTAGGGTGCATATATTAGTTTTTTTATTCGATTATTTAATTTGAATATAACGAGAGAATAGCTTAAAAAATTGAATTTTGGAAAAAAAAAATTATATCCATTCATTTTTAATATGAAATCTAGATTTGATTTAAATTTGGCTCATTTCGATTTCCATTAATAAAAAATCTAATTTTTTTAATTGAGGTTTTCGTTTTTGGTTTCCATTCATTTTTTTAAAAATTATTGTACTCGATTCGAATTCAATTAACTTGGTTTAAAGAATATATCAATTTTTAGATAAATTTTATTTAGATATTATTGAGTTCCATTTGAGGAATATCCGCATTTATTTACTAAATTATAAAAATTAAATGTTTTCCTAACCACTTGTCATATTGATTGAAAAACTTAACCTTATGATAAACTTTATACCAAAATTAGGAATTCAGCACCACAGTGATTATACTCTGAACTCAATATTCTTCACACAAAAAAGTAATTAAAATTAAAATAAATATACAAAATTTTCAATCGTTTCTAGATGTCAAAGATTAAGGCTTAACCAAAATTCCAACAAAACTACAACTACCATTGTATATATTTCTTCATTGGATTTTTACCAAACATTTTGTTAGAATACAACATATATACGTTTTTAATCCTATCTATGTCATTAGGATCATGTTTTTTGAAATATATTAAATTTTATTTTTAATTCTATCTATATATACTTATTCATAGGCTATATACATAGGGGTGACTTATATTATAAAAAAAGTAGATAGATAAATAGTTACGTTCTAAGGCTAACACAATATATAAATTGCTATTGGTATTTTATTAAATCAAATTATATAATATGCCTTAGATAAATTTGGAAAAAGCTAAAACAAAGTCCACGATTTTACGTGGGTGTTAGGAAGTTTGAAAAGCTTGTAAAAATAAATAATTATCACCTACGCATATTTTTTTATCTTGAAAACACCCAAAAGTTTTAACAATTAGTAAATACGTATTTAATACCTTATAAAAATAAGTTTTAAATATTGGTAAATGATATTTGATAATTTAGGATGTAGATGGTTTTAATATAAATTTTCTTAGATGCATCAATTATTCAACGGGTACTTCGTAATAAATATTATTATTTATTTATTTATTCAAAACAGAAATAACAATAATATTTAGGCTAAGAGTTGAAAAATCTTTTAGGTTATGGTATACATTCGAATGGTCCATTGAATATTGTGTTATTTGAACACAGCATAAAATGCGAATTGTTGGACGCATAATCGATGAGTCATACCGAGTCATCGACCGAGTGAGTGAGGGTATTAAAATTTTTGAAATCGATGGGTCGTATCTATTTTATTAGTAAAATCAAAATGCATGAGAATGAACTACGAAACACCAAAAAGTTTAGTGCTACAATGCACTCAAGAATTAATAAATTGATAACATTCAAACAAATTCAACCAAATCACATGAAAAAAGAAGAAATAAATTCATTCTAATTAATTTGAGATTAGTTGAATTATGTGATTTTTCTATTCGTGAAAAAATTTACTCAAAATTCGGATATTAGAGAATCTAATCTAATGATATGAGATCAAATATAATTTTTTTAAAAAAATCTGAAATTAGAACTCGGATACAAATATAAATGTACGAGGCATATAAACTAACTGAAAAAAAAATTCGAGAAATAATTAATTTACAATTTTAGCCCTATACCGATCAAATCGAATTTAACCGAAAATCTCGGATACTCGACCGTGTCTATGTTCATGAACAATCTTCCTCCTCCTGATACTATGTTCAAACTCTTGACAGGTAAAGAAAAATCAAAACCTAAAGAATATATATATATATATATATATATATATATGAAAAAAAAAGCATTGAAACATTGAAGGGTAAGTCTTACATATCTTACTAATCATTTGATTAAAACATCATAAATTTAACGTTATAATCGATAAAATCAAAATGTGACCATACTATATTTCGGTCATATTGGTCACATGGTCACAAGGGTATGTCTTGAAGTAGAAGTAGCAAATTAAATGTATTTTTGATATAATGCCGGACTCAAGGTAAGCCAGCAAGAACTTCTTAGTGATAGTGACCCTTTTCTTTTATCCAACCATTCCAATACCCAGAGAAAGAGTTCTTGTCTTTGTAGACAAGTTCTCAACAATGATACCGGCTTCTGCGAGGTTTATGCGTACGGATCATCACCCGACGTTGCGAGCTCACTCACTCGCTCTTGCATCGCTGTTTTTCTTTTCGGCCCGGGAGTTGACTGCTAAGTCCTTTGATCACCATGGTCTCGTCTTTCCACACGAGCAGTCATCATCACCTGCGGAATCAGCTTGAGAAGACGTATCTAACCACATGCTAGAGATGACTGAAGCAATCAACTTGAACATCTTCCATCCTCAATCAGGCAAATCTGTTTTAACATCCTCAACTAATAAGTTACATTGTTATGCTGTGACTGAATTTGACACAGCAAAGATCCAGATGCGTTTTGAGTGGATCATGCAAAATGGTAAACTGTCAAAACTATCAGTGTAAATAACCGATTTCCATTCTCGGGCAAGAGAAAGTTCAGCATCTTTTCACTGTTTAACAAAAAAGTTAAGATAACGGACATCTTTCTACCGATTCAAATGCTCAATGCACTGCGAATATGGATAATAAAAGATTCTACCAGAGCATCAAAAGGAAAAGTAATCAGATGCTTACCGTATGAACATAGCTGGCTGTTCAGGTCTGCTTCAGGTTGAAGCCTGATGTGGGTTGAAGCCTGAAGGCCGAAAAAGCGATTCCTTTCAAGAAGCCACTGGTACTTCTACCATGTTTTTTGAAGGCTTGAGCTCACCCACATGTGCTGTTTCACCATCACTCGGGTTTTCCATAGCTACCTTCTTAAGGCGGTAGGCCTCCTTAGGCATCCCAGCCTTAAGAAGGCAAGACACCAAAGAATTCATTGTAATTTTATCAGGTGAACAACCCATTGACAGCATTTTGTGGAAAATGCTGATTGCTTCGAACATTTTCCCCTTCATGCAGTGCCCGATCATGAGAATCGTAAACGTAACTTTATCTGGGTTGCATTTCCTCATCTCCATCTCCGCCACAATCTCATTGGCCTCATTGATGTTACCGGATTTGCAGAATCCATCAATGACAGGGTTGAACATAAATGGTTTTGGAATGATATTCTTACAAGATAGCTCCCTCAGAAGTTCACTGGCCTCCTTTAACCTGTTCGCTTTACACAGTGCGTTGATAAGAATCGAATAGGTATAACCATTAGGGTCCAATCCTTTGGCACTCATTTCACCCCAGAGTTTCATACCTCGGTTCAGTTTTCCTGCTCGACAATATCCATCAATCAAGGAAGTGAAGGTCACAACATCCGGGCAACAGCCAAAAGCAATCATTTTTCCAAGAATGGATTCTGCAGAAGGCATTTCACCAGCTTTAACAAAACCATCGATAAGAACATTGAAAGTTATACAATTCGGGTTGATTCCCAAATCGATCATTTCAGCCAACAGAAGAAAGGCTTTTCGCATCTTTCCAACTTTGCAATACCCTGACATCATCGAGGTATATGTAACAACATTCGGGGAGCAATCACTTCTCGATTTGACTTCATCAAACACATCTTTTGCTCTGTTTAAGTCATCGGTATCGCACAATCCCTTGATGAGAGTATTGTAAGTGACTGTATCAGGGGAACAACCAAAACTTCCCATCTCACCGAAAAGCTCCATTGTTTTGCCCACTTCCCCTATTCGACACAAACCTCGCATCAGAATGTTGAACGTACAAGTATCAACACATAACCGAGATCTCGGATGTTCTTCGAATAACTTAACTGCTACCTCTACACGACCCAACCTAACCAAAGTATTCAACAAGCTGTTCATTACATAGGAAGTACCTTCAACCTCGTAAGACTGAACAAGCAATGTCTTGGCGAAATCAAGGTTGCCCTTTTCGGCGAATGACGGAACCAGAAACCCTAATAATCTACTATCGGGTGGAACCCCATCACTCCTCATACACTCGAGCGTCTTCCTGGCTAAATCATGAAATCCCGCGTTGCAAAGGGATCTAGCGAGCATGTTGTAAGTCCAAAACGAATGGAGAATATTCAGCTTAAACCTACTAAACTCCCAAAACCGAAAACTCAATTCAGGATTCTCCAGCTTCTTCACAACCTCGAAAGCGATGAAAGGATTCAAGTTCTTGCTCAGGAAACAGAAACAGCAATCGGAATCTTGAGCTCTGCACAAAAACAACGTAGACACGACCTTGACGAGCCAGGATTCAGGGGAATACATCATCACCTCTCTGGCGTTCTTCGGCAAAGGACGAGCTCGAGAGATTCCATGAGAATGCGTATGGAGATGGGAAATGGCGGTGGCGAACGAGGCTCGTATCATAACATTACCCAATGGATCAAAATCAAAGCTTTTCCGGAGGAAACAGCGAAGCGTTGAAGGATTTTCCCGGCTTGATTTTGGTCGACCTCGCCTCGTCTAGAATCCATGGAAGACAAGGGGTAAGCTGCTAAGAAACACTTCTGAATGAGGCAGAGGCTTTGGAAGTGTGTTTTCCCCTGACTTGATAATGAAAATGGGCTGGGCTTTAGAGTTTAGTAGTTGGCCCAAAAAAACTAAATATATATCCGAATTTTAGAAAAAAAAAACTTTTAACTATATTCATTTATCATCGTTCCAAATTCATTATAAAATACTATCATACTTTAAAACTTTGAGTAGAGGTGACCCAACCGAAAAAATCAATACAGTTTTCGAATTAAATCGTTAAAAAAATTACGAACGATTATATTTTTAAGAAATCGAATAATCGAATCGAATCAAATCGAATATTAAAATATCTGAAAAATAATATTTTATTGGTAGAATTTATAATTATTAATATGGAAATTGGTATGATTATTTTATTTGAGATATTGAAGCTATCAATCCAATTTTCGATAAAAATATATCTAGCGAAAAAGTTTGATAACTTGCTGAGTTAGAAAATCAATTATATAATGATTAATTTTAATTCAAACCAAGCAAAATTATTTGTATTTAAAATAATATTCTTGTCTTAAAATTTAGAATGTTTATCCTTATATCATCTTGAAATATGTTGGAATTACAATTTTAAATAGCTAAAGAAAACAAACGTGCAAAAAAACAATTTAATGTTCGGTTTAATTGGTTCAGACTTAGGGGTATCAATTGTGTCGGTGCGAGCCCGTATTCGATTATCGAGGGTTTTGAATTCAGGGTCGGATCGTACTGATCTCTTGAATTTTTTTTGTAATTTTATTTTTTTTATTAATTTTTTTAAAAATATCGAACTTTCAAGTCTATCCGAATCGGATCCACAACTGGATTCAAACCCGTTTCGAAAACCCAATTTTTTCGTATTGAAAAACTTAAACCCGAAATCTGCTATTTTTTCGGGTTTAACCGGACCCGAATTAGGATCTTGGATCTAAATTGACAGCCCTAAATGTATATATATATGTTTTATTTTTATGGAATATAGTTTCAAATGTCTCGATTTAGATGATAATTAAATGTCCTCACTGTTTGAACTTAAACCATAACTCGATCAATAATCAATTAACTTTCTTAATGACAAATTCCATTGAATTTTTGTTTAACGAAATCTTTCCTAACTACGGTTCTGTTATATATATATACGAGGGATAAATAAATAAATGAATAATATATTAGAAGTCAAATCTCAACTCCAATCTAAAAAAAAAAGGATTGAGAAGCAAAGAGAGGACCACCGTCGCTGTTAAACAGCTCTTCTGCCTGAATATATATTATCGTCATTATTTATTCCGGTTTGATGATGACAGCATAATAAAATACAACTATAATTTAATTATTGATCAATTTTTATATAATTAAAAAATAATCCAGCCGTAGGGAAATCAAACATTAAAATTTCCACCCATCAAAACCTTGAGCTAATTTTTTTCTTCATATAATAAGATAGTACAACCATTTTTGACTATTTCCAAGTTTATTTTACGTTGAAATCTTTTGAAGAAAAAACACAAACGCTCAAGTTAAAATTAAAAAAAAAATGAAATTTGTCAATTCCGATTTTAGTTTAGATAATAAAAATTAAATTGTTTTGGTGTCCGTTTAGTCAAAGATACTGAAATTAAAATAATTTCCATTAATAGGATAAATTTTAACATTTAGATACGTAAAACGGTTTGGAATATAAACGAAAACAAATGTTATTTCGAGATACCCAGATTCAAATCCTGGGAAAATTCTGTTCATTGCCGTCTCCCACCCACCGCAATCTGGGAAATTTTCTATTAGGAGATAGAAAAAGGCTAAAGCTTTACAGTTTCCTGGGAAAGCAAGCAGAATCCAGATTTTTTCTTTCCCTGAGCGTTTTGAATTCATTGCAATTCGAGGATAAACCTGAAAGAAATCGTCTTCGTCATTAAAGATAGCAAAAATCGAAGAAAACCTCGAGATGGGTCACCACCACCACCACCACCACCAAGACGGTGGCGATGGCGCCCCTCAGCGCGTGAAAAGCCCGAGATTCTCCGGTCCGATGACACGTCGCACTCATTCCTTCAAGAGCGGCGTTGCCGGAGCCGGTCCGAGCTCCGGAAGCGGCGGAGATGGCAGCCACTCGAAGAATGGGTCGCCTTCTGGTCTGAAAGTTCACCACGAGATCGATCTTTACCTGAACTCGCCCAGATCAGAGATCGGGTCTAATTCGGGTCCGGATCTGGGATCTGGGTTGGATTCAGTTCTCAACAGGAGAGTGGTGAGAGGTCTACTGAGGAAGCCGATGGGATCGGTGGTTTCGGGTTTAGGGTTGAGAGAGAAGAAGAAGCTAGGGCACTGGATGTTCGTTGCCTTTTGTGGCGTGTGCTTGTTTATGGGTGTTTTGAAGATTTGTGCCATTGGATGGTTTGGATCCGCCATTGATGGGACAGCTTCTGATCAGGTACTTTCCGACACAAATCTTGTATTTGTTGTCTGCTTTCGGAACCATCTCCAAGTTGTCACATTGAGAATTGAGGGGAATCATCAATCCAGAATCTGTGATTATATTCATATTTTGTGACCTAAACAATGATCTGAAGAAGTCATGATCTTTGTCTAAGAAATGAAGAACTCCTGATCTTTGGTACTTGCTGAGATGTTTAGCTTGATGCCAATGTTAACAATCAACTACTTGGAAGTCATGGGTTGTCCTAGCTCGGACATGTAGTTAATAAGCTTCTAGTGCTGAATCTGGGTGCATGTATTTGATGTAAATAGAGTTTTTAGCGTTTATCTTCTTGAATAGTGTGGCTACTTTGATGGAATATATGCATATGATATGCAGAAATCTACAGATTGAAGTTACCTTTCCTTACTCTTATGATATCCATCCCTTAGTATTAGTGATCAAGGAGGATTGAAATGTAGACACTTAACTGGAACTTCTTTATTTTCTTTCCCTTAGGAAATATCCAAATCCATCCATCGAATGAATCTGTTGGATCATAGCTCCCATGATTATGTGTTTAAGGATGAAGCAAGTAATGTTCAACGGAGTTTGGTTATGGTCGAATCAGGTGTGGTCAGTGATCAAAACAGAGTGGTCAAAGTAAGTCTCAGCTCTGAATACATTAGCTTACATTTCCACTGCTTTGTGACGGTTTTTTTAGCTCTCTACCATTATGATGTCTTATTAGAGATCCCTTCACCACTTTGTGAGATTTACTCTTCATTCAGTTCTCAGGTATCTGGGCGAAACCCGAGAGTGGGAATTTCACACAATGCATCAACAGTAAAAAGCATAACAAAAGTATGCCCTTTGCAAAATAACATCTTAGTAGCATTTTGCATTTGTTATAATTTGTTGTTGTCTGCAACAATTTTGCTTATTATAAGCTATATATGTATATATACACATATTCTCTGCAGAGTTAGATGCAAAGACGAACGGCTACCTTCTCATAAATGCTAACGGAGGCCTGAATCAGATGCGATTTGGGGTCTGGCTGTTGTGGCTTTTTCTTTCGTGTTTCGCCTTCTGTTTTATACATCAATAGTCTGATGCGATGAACCATTTTAGAGTGCAGATCTGTGATATGGTCGCGGTTGCTAAAATCATGAAGGCAACTCTTGTTCTTCCTTCACTTGATCACAGCTCTTATTGGGCAGATGATAGGTTAGAAGTTAGAACCTTATCTTTTTTCGGATGATTTTCTTCTCTTCCCTTCAATTTTCTTACATTTCATCTGAAAGAGAGTTTATAGAATTTGGTTGATTGATTACATATCTGCTCTTATCATTTGAAAAAACACCCGGGTATCGTAGATATCTAGGTTCTTCTATATGCAATAGCGTTATGGATAATCCTCGTTCAGATGTACATGATACTTTTCGTTCAGATTTTCGAGTAATTTTCTGCTCTTTAAGAAGGCAAGACACCAAAGAATTCATTGTAATTTTATCAGGTGAACAACCCATTGACAGCATTTTGTGGAAAATGCTGATTGCTTCGAACATTTTCCCCTTCATGCAGTGCCCGATCATGAGAATCGTAAACGTAACTTTATCTGGGTTGCATTTCCTCATCTCCATCTCCGCCACAATCTCATTGGCCTCATTGATGTTACCGGATTTGCAGAATCCATCAATGACAGGGTTGAACATAAATGGTTTTGGAATGATATTCTTACAAGATAGCTCCCTCAGAAGTTCACTGGCCTCCTTTAACCTGTTCGCTTTACACAGTGCGTTGATAAGAATCGAATAGGTATAACCATTAGGGTCCAATCCTTTGGCACTCATTTCACCCCAGAGTTTCATACCTCGGTTCAGTTTTCCTGCTCGACAATATCCATCAATCAAGGAAGTGAAGGTCACAACATCCGGGCAACAGCCAAAAGCAATCATTTTTCCAAGAATGGATTCTGCAGAAGGCATTTCACCAGCTTTAACAAAACCATCGATAAGAACATTGAAAGTTATACAATTCGGGTTGATTCCCAAATCGATCATTTCAGCCAACAGAAGAAAGGCTTTTCGCATCTTTCCAACTTTGCAATACCCTGACATCATCGAGGTATATGTAACAACAAGGCACTTCATCGAGGAGTTGAATGATGTCATTCACATTGTTGAGATGTTGCCGTCGGAATTTGCCCAAATCGAGCCTTTTGTCAAGACACCTATTTCATGGTCCAAGGTCAATATATTATATAGCCGATATTCGCTGCATAATGTGAAGCCAGCATCTTTCTTATATTGCTCGTATGTTCTATCGATTATGTGTTTTTTTATTTTGGTTTCTTCAGGTTAGTTACTATAAGACGGAGGTTCTCCCGCTATTGAAGCAACATAAAGTCATGTACTTTACTCACACTGACTCTCGACTCGCCAACAATGACCTGCCCAGTTCCATACAAAAGCTACGTTGCCATGTAAATTACAAGGCCTTGAAATACTCGGCTCCGATAGAGGAATTGGGGAATGTATTAGTTTCGAGGATGAGGCAGAATGGGAGTCCATATCTCGCTCTCCATTTAAGGCAAGTATCGATATTGCATCTCTGTCGAAATGTGGTGAAAATGTTTGAATCTTTATGTATATAGCCGATCTAAATATCGAACATGAACCTCTCCTCTCGTATAATTTTTGGATCTAAACTTACCAAGATTCGTTTTTTAAGGTACGAGAAGGATATGCTTGCTTTCACGGGCTGCAGCCATGGTTTGACTGCTGAAGAAGACGAAGAGCTACGCCAGATGCGATATGAGGTCAGCCATTGGAAGGAGAAGGAAATAAACGGGACGGAGAGAAGATTGCTCGGCGGTTGCCCGTTGTCTCCGAAGGAAACTTCCCTTCTTCTAAGGGCATTGGGTTTCCTGCCCAGCACTCGAGTTTACCTTGTAGCGGGCGAAGCTTACGGGAATGGAAGCATGGAATCGCTTAAGACCGACTTCCCCAACATTTTCTCGCATTCGAATCTCGCCACCGAAGAAGAACTGGCTCCGTTCAAGAATCACCAGAATATGCTGGCTGGCTTAGATTACATAGTAGCTCTTCAAAGTGATGTCTTTCTTTACACTTACGATGGAAACATGGCAAAGGCTGTTCAAGGTCACAGGCGGTTCGACAACTTCAAGAAAACGATAAACCCGGACAAGTAATTCACCTCTTTTTATTGCCTGCTCGATTTTTTTGTTCTGAAACCTTTTTTTGCGGATTTGGTGATCTCTTGTTTTCTCGATGCAGGATGCATTTTGTGAAACTCGTTGATGAATACGAAGAGGGGCGGATTTCTTGGAAGATATTCAGTTCGAAAGTGAAGAAACTGCACAATGATCGGGATGGAGCTCCGTATATGAGAGAGCCGGGGGAATTCCCAAAGCTCGAAGAGAGTTTCTACGCAAACCCTCTTCCCGGATGTATCTGCGAGACTTCACCCGAATGGTAGTAGCAAGCTGACGGATATAATCATCGAGGTGATGCGGGTAGTTTCTCGGGCACAGTCAAGGGTTCACCGATACACGAAACAACCAGCGGTTCCGATTCCGAAGCTCGAGATTTGACGGAATGGTTCCGAAGATGCCACGAATCCAGCATCTTGCTGATATTTATAGGTTCACGAAGTATCATAGTCAAGAATGATAGTTCTGCATAGCTCGTACTGCGAGTTCATCCCCGGATATCCGAGATCTCTCCCCTTCGGTCACCCGATGCGGATTCCCGAAAATGGGTACACAAAGAAAGGATTCAATTCTTGTAATCTCTGAAGTTTTTGTCGAAACAACAGGTTTCATTACACTGCTATTAGTTGATTATTGTCGTTTTACATTCATCAATAACACTGAAATGCATTCCGTACAGAAAATCTCCCGTCTCATATACATATTCCACCAGAAAATCGGAGTTTGGGGACGAGTCGGGGTCGCTCTCTACGGTTTGGTAGGGATGTCAATTTTGCTCCGAGGTCCGAAGTGCGGTACGCCCAGTCCTAAAAATAACGGGTTTCAGATCGAGATATTTAGATCCGAAAATTTTTGAACTTTCGAATCGGGTTCAGATTGGACTTTGGATCGACCCAAAAGACCGATTTTTTTTTAAATATTAATTTCAAAGAGTAAATTTAGTGGATCGGCCTAATCCGAACCCAAACCAGTATCTATAGGGTCGGGATTCGGGTTTGATGATCTAGATTCGAATCGCATATACCATAAGATATAAACAAAGTTTATGTAGGTTTATATCAATATTAGAAAACGTTTAATGTATATTTTAGTAAAAGTTTCACATATATAAAATTTTTTGAAAGTTCATGTTTTTTCAAGTTATTGCCGCTAAAAATTATGCACTTGTGCTAAGAGATAATTATGTTTATGTTTATCATCCTCTCAAACTTTTTCGGGATCCTATTCATTTTATAAAATTTAACTAATTAAAATTATTATTATCAAAATTATTTAATAATATAAAAGTATGAATCTATATAATAAAAATATTAATAATTATTATTTAATGAATTTAAAAATTAATAGTCTATATAATAAAAATTATTTAATGATAATAAGTATCTTTGTAATATTTTTATGTATTATAATGGTGATAATAATAAATTTTAAAAAAATCTATAAATTTAGAGTTGTTATCATAAATATAATTGATTTTCAATTTTAAAAAATCTTTTAATTTATTATTGATATGTTTTGGAAATTATAAAAAAAAAAAGATTAATAACAAGTTAATGACAAAAGTAAAAGATCCCTCCCCTTCGGAAACTCAACGCGGATTCCAAAATATGGGTACACTGAGAAACAATTCAATGAATCTTACGGTTATCAAATGACGCTAAAACGTCAGAGTCGGGATAAGGGCCGATGGTTCGCAGTCTCCTTCCCGAGGGACGGATAATCCGTATAGCCTACGATCGGGTCGTGGGTGTAAAACGTTTTCCGGTCATACCTATTCAGCTTTCCGTTAACCTTAAACCGCGAAACCAGATCCGGATTCGAGATAAACATCCTTCCGTACGAGATCAAGTCCGCATCGCCTTGTCGAATAGCTTCCATGCCGACTTCTCGGGTGAACCCTCCGCTGTACATGACAGTACCGTTATACTTCTTCCTCAACGTCCTTATCACCTCGGCATTTTCTTCATCTTCCTTCTCGGAGTTGTTTTTCCGGTAGGCACGGTAGCGGGGATGCGTCACGTGTAGATAAGCTAGCTTCGACCCGTTGTTTTCTTGAATCTTGTTAAACCGATCGACGATTTCTAGTCCGAGGGCTAGTGGATCGCTATCGGATGCATCGTTATGATCGATAACCGGAGATATCCTCACCGCGACTCGGTCAACTCCAACGACTGAAACCACTGCTTGAACTACCTGCATTTCGATCGTTTTTCGTTTAGACTTTACACTTTAGGGTTTAGGGTTTGATCGTAGAGGCCGTGGACCCTTTAATTGTTACCTGGAACAACAATTTGCAACGGTTCGGAATGGAGCCGCCGTATTCATCGGTTCGATCATTGATACCGTCCTTCAAGAACTGGTCAATGAGATAACCATGAGCTGCGTGGATCTCGACCCCGTCGAAACCCGCCCGGATGGCGTTAATGGCCGCCCTGCGGTACCACTCCACGACCCGAGGGATCTCGGAAGTTTCTAGAGCTCGAGGTTCCTTGTAACTCCCGTACGAACCGTCAGGCAGGAGAGGTGTCCACCTATTTGAAATCGCCTTGTTGGTGGACGAGATAGGCGCGCCTCCTCCGGGTTGGTACACTATATTATATCATCATTGTAAGAATATTGAATGTATATATGTGTGTGTATATATATATTTGAATATTTGGACCGACCAATCTTATAGTATGCTGACCTGGATGAGAGGCTCGGCCAACGTGCCATAGTTGGCAAAAGAAGACGCTTCCTTGGCGATGAACTGCGTCCACGACCTTCTTCCATGCCTCTACTTGTTCGTCGTTGTAGATTCCAGGAATATGCGGCAATCTGAATGGCCGTTAATAAAATAATATAAATATGATTTTCCAAATGTGGAAAATAATATAGTTGATACAAACGAGACCATTGGTTGCAGTACTAGGATTATTTTTTTTATGACATGTTGTTAATATTTAAATTTTTTATTTATAGGTTTAGTAGGATTACATTTTATTTTTTTTATCTATGAGTTTATTATTAGGGCAAATCGTATATTACTATACAAATTTATAAAATTTTAAACTTTCTAAATAAATAGGTGAAATCTTTTTAATTTTTATATTAAACCTCGCACCTTTTAAAAATAATGAAAATAAATCATATAATTTTAAATTATTCTCAAAAATCATTATAAAATTAAATCTTAAATTTTTAAAGATTCTCAAATACCATCATGATATGGTGTTTTAAAAAAATAATTTAAATTCCGATAACGTATAAATTAAGAAGAACTTGTATATTTGTTTATAAATTTTAAAATTATATGTATTTATCTAGATTTTTTTTATAAATTCGTGTATTAATATGCGATTTTCTCTTTTCCGTAATGACATGTTATTTGTTATTTTTCATGTATTGATATTGAAAAACAAGCCATACTATGTTATTAGAAAAATACCCAACAGCGCCAGGAGCGATCATGGCGCCTTCGGAAATGAGGAAACCGCCGGGAGTGGCGCGTTGGGTGTAATACTCAGCCAACGCCGCGTTCGGAACGCCCCCCAGCGCCCTGCACCTCACCATCGGCGCCAACACCACCCTGCAAACGCAAACGCAAACGCCAAACGCACAGACCACGATTTGAGAATAGCAATAACACACACACACACACATATACATACATAATCAGAGTCAAACTGACCTGTGGGAGAGATCGAATCTGCCCATCTTGTACGGAGAGAAGAGTGCGTTCGTTGCGGTGGAGTTTCCCTTCTCCGCCGACATTAGCTCCGCCATCTCTCCGCCGTGTCCGTACGCCGTCGATTTGATGAGAGAGAGAAAGAAGTTTATTATGGTGTTTAGGTGTACGGAACGATTTGGAAATATTTTGGAAGAAGAAAGTTTGAATTTTTTTTTCTTCTTGATTTCTCTCTTGAAATTTTCTTGATTCAAACTTGTTACAAACCACACCTATTTATACTGCAAATTCATATATAATTTTCAACTAGCACATTCAATTTTCATATGCTTACCTTATTTCTATCTCTGACTACTTTATTCTTCACATTTCTAATTACCTTATATATTATTCACATTTATAATTATCACATATTTATCTAATTACCATGCATATTTTTATCACATTCTTTACCTGATTACCGTACATACTTTTTTAAACCTAATTATCACATGTTTACCTAATTACCATACATATTCTTCCCATTTCTAACACATCAAACCACATTTTTATCACATGTTTACCTAATCGCCATAAAATTCACATACTAATAATCGCATTTGTAACAACCGTATCAAATTCAAACACTTATAATTTAATTTATTTTGCCATAATTAAATTTCCTTATTAAACTTCAACATGGAGATTTGTGGACGTATTTGGATGAAAAAGCAATGCAGCCTAAGACCTAAGACCGAAGACTGTGGTCGTTGAAGAATAATAACAGACCATTGTGATATATTATAATTAATTAGTACCTCTTTTAGAAAATAATTAATTAGTATGTTTACTGTATCATATTAAATCTTTTATGAAGTTTCGCGCGTTTTGATGTTCAATAAAATACAATTGAGCGTTTTATTTTTTTAATATACTCTCTGGTTTTGGATTTTCAAGTAATCAATCGTATCATTTACCTGCTTTTTTATATATATAATAATTGATTATTGGTTTTGATTACCATTATACCAATGTTTTATATCCAATGTCACAATAATTATTCATTCTAAAAAAAAATATTTTTATATTTCATTCATATTTTATAAGTTTAAATATTTTCGATGGTTTTGCATTATTATTATTTATTTATTTTTGGATTTTGTGTTTCACCGGGTATTATATAAAAAATATCATTATTTTGCTATCTTGACTTCATCACATCTCATTCTCTAACTGTGACCATGTGATCCAAAATATAGTGTGGTCACATTTTGATTTTATTGATTATAATGTTAAATTTATGGTGATCACACTAATACATTATGTTCATATCTTATATATATCGCTAATCATTTGATTAAAACATCATAAATTTAATGTTATGAGCAATGAGATCAATATGTGACCGTACTATATTTTGGGTTATATAGGTCACATCGTCACAGATGGAGAAGAGTATGTGTTGAAGTCAAAATAACAAAAAAAATGTATTTTTGTTAATGCCCCGTTTCACCGTCATGGTATCCATAATATAAAATCGATGTTTTTTTATTAATGATTGCATAATACAACTTACCCTTAATAAAAGGAAAAATAAAAACAAATGTATTCATACAAAAACAATTCCATGTAAAATTTAATTTTTGTAGTAAAAAATGTTGTGCACTTAAATAAATAAATAAGATGGTTATCGATTAGAAGATGGACTTTTAGAAACCGAAGCCCAACCTAATTTGCTTGTCCGAAATCTACATCCAAAATTTGATTAGTTTTTTCATTTAATTTAATTTATAAAAGTTTCAAATCACTTTTCAAATACATACAAAAATAAATATTTGTCTAAACCAAAATATTAAGAATATTATTCATTGGTTCAATTAATATTTATTCTAGATGGATAATACCGGATAAAATTTTGAGGTTTAATAAAGATAATTTTTTTAATAAAATATTTTTAAGATTTATTATGTAAAACTGGTAATTTGTAGTTTAGAATGATCTTCTTTTTCTTTTTGTTGTCTAGAATATGATATTTATTAGTTTACATATGTTTTAGTATAATCTACGATATGATATCCGTATTGATTCATTTAATCATTCAATGTATACATTTCGTTAAATATATTTTCATATTATATATTTATATCTTATATCAAGATCTTTAGATCTCTAATCAATTTTATGTGTGAAATAATAGAGATGATTATTGCATACGTATCATAATCATTAGTACGTGTTTGTAACAACGTACTAGAGACCCGTATGAGATTGTAATTTCAACATGAGTCATGATTTGAATCTTATGTGATGGTTTGCTTTACACCTTTCGTATCAATTTAATTTTCTATAAATAAAGAGATATTATTTTTATTTTTAACATACTAAAATAAAATAAAAAAACTTCCTATAAAAAAAATAATATTCTCTTACCTTCTTTGTGACAAAGTTGAACTTTACGTTCAACGAGGCACCGTAATTTGAATTATCACTGTTGCGTTCAATGATGCACCGTAATTTAAATTACCACTGTTTAGATGAGGTAAGCTTGTCCTATAAAGTTATATTTCATTTAATCGAGTACCAAGCGAAAAATAATTTTCTTAATTAAACATGGTTTATCATGAGTTTGAATATTTTTTTTCCTAAAAATTTAGTTTTAAAATTAAGTTTTTCTAGTAATATTGTTTCTTTCATAACTTTTTACACCGTTATAAAAATTGTATTTTTCTGTTTATTCGTGTGTATTGAAATTATCTTTCTAATGGTATATAAAATTCATAATTTAGTTATGTATTACGAAAATTATTGAGCTCAAAGTTTTGGTAAGAAATTGAAATAATAATCGCATACTAAGTAATTTGAGATATAAAATAACATGACCAACACTGAAATAGATTCATTGAGAATATCTCCAAACTCTTCTGCAGATTCCATCAAAAAATCGAAGTTTGGGGACTCAAAGACGGGATAAAGGTTGATGGTTTGCTTTCTCCTTCCCAAGGAATGGATAATCTGTGTAGCCTACGATCGGATCATGGGTGTAAAACGTTTTCCGATCATACTTGTTGAGCTTCCCATTGATCTTAAACCGCAAAACCAAATCCGGATTCGAGATAAACAACCTTCCGTACGAGATCAAGTCCGCATCGCCTTGTCGAATAGCCTCCATTCCGAGTTCTCGGGTGAACCCTCCGCTTGACATGAAAGTGCCGTTATACTTCCTCCTCAATGCCCTTATCATCTCAACGCCTTCTTCCTCTCCCATCCCTTGCTTTTTCGATGCGTTTTTTTGGTAGGCATGGTAACGGGGAAGCGTCACGTGCAGGTAAGCTAGCTTCGAGCCGTTGCTTTCTTGAAACTTGTTTAACCGATCAACGATTTCTAGCCCGAGGGCTAATGGATTGGATTCAATTGCATCAAGATGATCGATAGCCGGAGATATCCTCACCGCGACTCGGTCGGCTCCAATGGATGAAACCACGGCTTGAACTACCTGCATTTCGGCCCGAGTTAATTTTCCATTTAGAGTTTAATGTCTACGGTTTGATATCTCGAAGAGGTCGGGACCCTTGTTACCTGCATCAGGAATTTGCAACGATTCGCAATGGAACCACCGTATTCATCGGTTCGATCATTGATACCGTCCTTCATGAACTGGTCGATGAGATAACCATGACCTCCGTGGATCTCGACCCCGTCGAAACCTGCTCGGATGCTGTTAATGGCTGCAATGCGGTAACACTCCACGACCCGAGGGATCTCGGAAGCTTCTAGAGCTCGAGGTTTCGGGTATTTCCCGTACGAACCATCGGGCAAGAGAGGTCCCCACGTACTTGAAATCGGCATGGTGGTGGACGAGATAGGCGCACCTCCTCCGGGTTGGTACACTATATTATTTCATCATTTTATGAGTGTGTGTGTGTGTATATATATATATATATGAATATTTGGACCGACTAATCTTATTGTATACGGACCTGTATGAGAGGCTCGGCCAGCGTGCCATAGTTGACAAAAGAAGACGCTTCCTTGGCGATGAACGCCGTCCACGACCTTCTTCCATGCTTCTACTTGTTCGTCGTTGTAAATTCCAGGAATATGCGGATATCTGAATCGTCATTACACCGTTTTTTATGAACCTCATATATATATATATATATATATATATATATATATA